CCAACCAACTTTGGCCAACAACTCATTATTGAATAATTTAATTTTTTGAATACCCAATCCCCCACTTCTCTTTGGCCTACAAGCTTTCTGTAGCAGATCTGTACCTGGACCTGAATGCCCATTCCAAAAGAATGATTTCATGGTGGTTTCAATGTTAGAACAGGTCCGGGTTGGCAAGGAATGAATTGACATAGTATATGTAGGCAAAGCTGACACTATTCTTCCCATTTGTGATAAACAATTTGCCCTCCAACCAGTCAGTCTTGTCTTTACCCTATCCACAACTTCTTGGTAGCTTTTAGTTCTTCGTTTTCCAATACAAAGAGGCATCCCCAAGTATCTTACTAAATAAAATACCAAACTTTCCATAATTAACCTCTTGTCCTGAACATCTCCCAAACTTATCCAAAATGTTGATCACCTCATTCATCTCTAATAGAGAAGCCCGTCCAAATAATAGAAGATCATTCGCAAATAATAGGTGAGATACCTCCAGACATCATCTACCAATTCGTACTCTATGCAACTTTCCCACTGCAATAGCTTCGTCTATCATTAAGGAGTACATGCATCCCCAATATAAAGAGATACGAGGATAATGAATCACCTTGACAGAGACCTCTGGTTGATTCAAAACCATGGGACTCCACCCCATTGATAAGAACAACCAATCTTGTAGTTGAGATGCACATTCGGATTAATCTAATCCAATTTGATGGAAACCCCAAACCCTTCATAACTCCATGCAAAAATCCCCATTCCATTTTATCATAAACCTTAGCCTTGTCCACTTTAAGTGCAAAAACTCCATATTTGCCTTTTTTCTTCTTCATGTAGTAAACAACCTCATGGCCAATTATGACATTATTAGTTATTTGTCGCCTTGGAACAAAAGCAGTTTGCGAAGGAGAAATAACTTTATGAAGCATCACTCTTAGTCTATTTGCAAGTAGTTTTGAAAAAAAATTATAAATTATATTACAAAGACTAATAGGCCGAAAGTGATGCACTGAATCCAGAAATTTCACCTTTGGAATCAGATCTATATTAGTAAAGTTAATTTCCGGATATAAATTTTCACCATTAAAAAGAGATTGGACTAAGGCAACTATATCAAAACCAATAACATGCCAAGTTTTATGGAAAAAAATAGCTGACATACCATCAAGGCCAGGAGCTTTAAGTGGACCCAGTTGGAAGATCACATCTCTAACCTCCTTGTATGTGGGGACTCTACATAGCTCCTCGTTTTCTTCTGGTGTAATGTGTGGGTGTAACCACTCTTTGATTGCAAATGGCATGACCGAGTTGGTAGAAGTAAAGATGCCTGAGAAGTATTCACAAAAATATCTTTGATTTCTCCTTCATTCTCAATCCAACTGCCATCATCCTTCTTCAATCTATCAATTGCCATCCTCCTTCTATGAATAATAGTAGAAAAAAGGAAATACTTCATGTTTCTATCACCTAATCGCAACCAATTTTCTCTTAAACGTTGTCGCCAAAAGGTCTCCTCGCGCTCTAATAATTCATCCTTCTCTCTTTTGAATTCCATCTCTCTTTGTAAAACTTCAGTAGTAGGATATCTCGACTAGAGTGTCTCCAATTCCCTTCACTTTTCCTCTATTTGATGGGAAACATTACCAAAGACTTGTCGATTCCATATACTAAGAGCCGACCTCACTCATTTGATTTTATAACATAGGTGGCCACCCTCCGAAACATTTGATTCATCTTTGGGAACTATTTGAAAAATAAGAAATCTAACAAAGAAATGAAAAAAAAAATACTTAACCAAATAAGAAGTCAAAGAGACAAAGACTCAAAGTGAATAACAAAGCATACAATAGTTGGATGAATGAAATATGAAAATTGGAATAAATTAATTAAATATGGAAAATAATATAGTTACAAATTGAAAATAAAAATTATGTTATTAAAAAATATCAAATAAATTAAATAAAATTAAAACAAAATTTACAATAATTTGAAAAATGCTATACAACTATTGAGTATACAAAAAATATTGACTTCATCATTTTTTCCTATTGTTCTTGACTTTGATCATCAGCTTCAGGTGAAACATCAGGTGTAATATCATGCCCTTCTTTGTCTTGTAATCTATCTTCAACATCCAACCAATCTTTAAAGTAGATGCATATCTCTAGACTTTCATCATTCATACAACTTCTCTTATCGTCCAACACCTTAGTACCTGCACTAAAAGAAGACTTTGATGGAACTGTAGACATCGAAGGGGTTAGTAGATCACATGCCATGGCGGTGAGAACTGGGTAATTTTTTGCATATTCACTCCACCAAGCTAAAATATCAAAATTATTTGTTCCCATCGAGGTGAAGAAAGAATCACCTAAAGTAGAAAAAATTGCTTGTAAATAAAAATTAAGTTCAGTAAATGAACTTATTGTCAAGGCAATGGATTTCTGCCTCTTACTTATTAAATAAAAAAGTTTTTTTCTTCCACTACTGGACTCAAGTTTAGAAGTAGAAGATGCAACTGCACAAGTTATAGAATTTTTATTATTCCCTATTACTTCAGATTCATATAAATTATACATTTCAAATAATAAACTATTAATTTATTCTTTTTTATTCCAATTTCAATATTCATATTTTCACAATATGTTTTAAGTAAAATATCTAAACCATCTTTCCTTATCCTAGGATCTAATATTGTAGCTAAGCAATAAAAAGGAGAAATGTTCTCCCAATATTTTTAAATTAATTTTCCATTATTTTAACAATACTTTTAAATTGTGGATTCTTTCTATATTTTGTAGAACAATCATTAATCATCATTAATTGATAAGGTAAACTACAAGTAGTTGGATAATAAATTCCCAATAATTCATTAGTTGTATCATAAAAATGTTTTTAAAAATCTCTTATACAAATTTCCATTTTCCATCTTCCTCAAATATAATATCAGTAGGCATTTTTGCATTATAAAAATCACTAAGAATTTGTTTGTGAGAAATACAACTTTCTAACATAGCATAGGTAGAGTTTCATCTATGTTTAACATCTAATATAAAATGTTTATATTTTAAACCATAATTTTGATATAAATATTTAAATTCTTGTTTTCTTGCTCTAGAACTTACATAAATTTAAGACGTGATATGCACATATGATATATGAAATAATTTACCATTTAAACATGGTTTTAATTAAGATTTTAAAATATTTATTGCTGAATCATTATTACTAGCATTATCAAAACTAATAAAAAATAATTTATTGTCAATTCTATAAGTATGTAAAGTATTTAAAATACTTGCTCCAATAGTTGGGCCAGTATGTGGCCATTCAAGCCTAGTAAAACTTAAAATTCTTTTATTTAAAAGTCAATTTTCATCAATAAAATGACCGTAACACAAATATAACTTATGTTAAATTTAGAAGTCCAAATATTAGAAGTAATTACAACTTTTGAATTAAGATTTGATAACATATAAATTAAATTTTGTTTATATGAATAAAAAATTTTTAATTTAAAATTGTGGATTTATAGAATTACATAACCATTTTTCAAGTTTAGTAACTTCAGCTAACAAAAATGGTTGTTCATCATGTACAATGTATTTTGCCAATTCTTGCCTCATTTTTTCTTGAGAATTTTCTAAAGTACCAAACCCCCCCACCCAATTTGTATTTGTGTTGTTTCTCTCCCTTCTTCTTCTTCTTCTTCTTCTTCTTCTTTCTCATGGGTGAGCAAATGTCTACCCAAATGGCTAGTACCACCCTTGCTACAATAACTAAAGTCTTTCCTACATTTTTGGCAAACAACTTTTTTTACCTTCCCCTGAACTTCCTCTATTTTAAATATTTTCAAACCGGGCTAATCAACTTAGTGGCCTTCTTTTTCTTTCCCCTAGTATCAATTCTAGGGGTGGAAGTTCCATCAATATCATTAGCATCCATGTCAGTGCTAATATTACCATGTTGTGATTGAATATCGTCGACATTGAACATGGTGGGGAATTAGTTTTGGGAGGATTCAACCATTTTTTAAATTCTGAAAAAATAAAAATTAATTTAATTGCACTTACCCGGATTGCCGGTTCGGAACCCCAACTTGATTTCAATGGTTGAAGCCTTTCAACTCCAAGAGTCCAAGCCTCTCAAATTGCTAACTTGAGAGTTAAGATACTTGAGCTGTTAAACAAGCCTTCTTCTTGTTGAAACATCAATAAAGTTGAGAATTGGAGAATCAGAGAATGTATGAGAGATTGCGAGATTAAGACTCTTAAGACTCTAGAGARGTAAGAATATTACTTCTCTCCTCTCAACAAGAAGAAACCATTATTGGCATGAAACACCCTCCCTTTCACATGCTGCTTATTCTTGTCACTCTCAAACATCTCTCTCTCCCCCTCTCCATCTCCAATTATTCTCAATCATTCACACCCACCATTTTCACCTTCACCGGATCCAAACAAAACCCTCCATCCCCAACTCCAATCACTTCATTTTAACTCCTTAAAAATCTAACCACATTGAGCTGAAACTTGGACTGATGCTTCTCCTCTTTGGAGGTTCTTCAGCCTGTTTGGATATTCCTTCGTTTGTGTTTTCTTAGTTTGTGTTGGTCTCTTTGCTTTTTTTTTGGTTTTATTTGGATTGTATGGCTCCGGTCTGTTTTTCCTTAGTCTTAATCAATTCTTTTTCCAACAAAAAAATCTAACCACACCCATGAATCATCGATAAATGCTCAAGGAAAAAAAAAAAACAAAAAAAACCAACCAACCAACCCATCTCCTTCTCTTACCAGACCCCAGAACTCCATTAACCTCTCTCTCCCCTTTCAGTCTTTCACGTGTTGTGCTGTAAAGATTTCTCTCTCTCTCTCAATTTGTCACGATAATTTACCCAAAGAATCGTGAAAGGTAGAAGGGATGGAGGAGTCATCAGGGCCCCACAGGACCCACATCCACCCTCCAATAATTGTTTATTCTACTCCTCTACATCTTAATCGTTCTGTATTTTCGCTGGCACCTCTGTCTTCTTCTTGTTCTCCATTTCCTTCTTTCTCCTCTGTTCGCAAAAACCTTAGGTTTAGCTTCAAGATCTCAAATCAGAAAAAGCAGAAAGAAGTAATTCTTGAGATTCAGATTAAACCTTTTTCTTCTTTCATGTGAGGATCAATAAGAGATAGTCATGATCCATTCGCTTCSTCTCCTTTGTGTTGTACTTCTATTCCGTATCATCATCTCCACCTCAATATCTCCGTCTTTTTCGTCGGAAGAACCGTCTTCATCTTCAATATACGATGTTTTGCGGTCTCACGGGCTTCCAATAGGTTTGCTTCCAAAAGGGGTTACCCAATTCATCATAGATGAGAAGGGAAGGTTTGAAGTTCATCTTGATCAGGCCTGCAACGCCAAATTCGAGAATGAGGTGCATTACGATCGAAACGTTTCTGGGACTATTAGCTATGGCCAGATCGGAGCTCTCTCGGGCATATCCGCTCAGGAGCTCTTTCTCTGGTTCCCAGTGAAGGGTATTCGAGTTGACATCCCCAGCTCTGGCCTCATTTACTTCGACGTTGGTGTTATTTACAAGCAATTCTCGCTTTCTTTGTTCGAAACGCCACCTGACTGTAAGGCCGTTGCTGATGGTCCACCTGATGCCCTTCTTCGCGAAGGCCGTGCCATTGCTGCAGCAGTTTCTAAGGTTCAATTCATCCCTTTTTGTTATTAGTTCATTTCCTTTTAGTTTGATCTATGTGGGCATTGTAATCCTTGTGTTCGATTGTTTAGTTAGGTGGAGACTTTCATTTCTTTCGTTCTTTCTTTTTGTTTCGTTTTTTCTTTTTCTGGGTAGTCTGGTTGATTTTTGATGGAGACAAAACTGTTTAATGGGATTGATTCCATTCCGTTTACGGAGAAACAAAGAATGCATAATTTCTTCATGTTTGGTTTTTATTCTTAGCTATCGTTTTTATCAGAGAGCAATCCAGTTTTGTTTCTTGATCTATGTTCATCTGCTTGATTTGATTTTTGCTTTCATTTTCAGTTATTAATTTTGTTATGTTTAATTGGGATGGCGTTGGTATTAGCTGCTATTAATTTTCCTACAAATCCCTTCTAATCAATTGCAGAGTCAATCCGGAAAGCTTCGCTATGAACTTGATCAGGGAAATTTTCAGAGGGCTGTTCTGTAGACTGAAACAAGGACGATTCAAATTTCACAATAGATCAATCAACTTATTGTGGGTTTCCTTTCCCTTAAGAGACTGTCTCAGAGTCTGGTTTGGCAGGTCTTATGCGTCCATGGTGTGTGCTTGCTTGCAGTATAGTACAGACTAATCGGGCCCGCTGCTTCTATCTGCACGGGGAGGAGAAAACAATTTTTGACGGAGGAGAGAAGTAATGAAATGAGGAGTTGAGAGGATTGTGGGTGAAGGGCCTTATATATAGAAGAGGAGGAAGAATCAGGATTTTGCGTTGAGGTGATTTTGATGATAAATCTGTTAGAATGCTGCTTTACTCTTTGTGATCCTATTATTACATTTATATAGATATGGGTGCTCGACCAAAGTCTCTGTAAATGCAGGTATTTGTCTGTTTGTATTATCAGTGAATGTCTTAGATTGAGGTAAGAACATTTCATTGACAAAAGAAACAGCTTTCAATTTTGTTTGTTCTTTTCTTTTTTTTTTTTTTTTTTGTATTTCTATGAGTCATACATTACAGCATTTGCTGATGCTACTCTTTTATTAACTTGCAATTTCTTCTCCAATAGTGTCTACTTTTCTTGCTTCTGTTTGTGTTTTGGTTTTGGGTTTTAATCGCAGTTTGGGATATGAAATCAAGGAAATGATGCAGTGATGATTGTGCTTTACAAGCGGAAAATAGTGGTACAGTGGAGTTTCAAAGGCAATGATGAATTGAACTGATTTCTTCCCTTTTGATTTGGTCTATGTAGCAAATTTCTTCCATATATCAATTGGGTTTGTCAAGTGGTCAGTTGGTTTTGTCTGTAAAAGGAGGAATGTTTCTCGGTGTGTAATTTTGGTTGTTGGGCATTTCTTAAGCTATTGAAGTGTGTCAAAAGAGTAACAAATATGGAAAACCAACTGAAAGTCTCAGTGATTTCTGGAGAGATGAATTTGTTTATTGGTGTGTTATTGCAGTATGAACATATTGTCAATACCGCAGTTGGTACAGATGGTGTTTGAAATCCTGAATTTCTTGTGGCAGAGTTGAATCTGTTTTAATTGCATAGTATCAGACCAGTCGGTGAGATCTATATATGGAGGAAAATATATCCTGGATATTCTATTAATTTCCCAGATGGGTACTTAAGGTAAAACCCAATACAATAACAGGGGTTTGTTCTTTATTGGCTCCATGCATGTTATTTAGGAATTAAGACATTGTATGTATGTAAAATCAATAATATAAATGTGCTTGCACAACAGTTATTTATGTATGAATTAATTTTACACTGCAAATGAGGTAATATATCTCTTTTTCTGTTTTTTTTTTTTTTTTTCCTTTCAAGACTGCCATCTAATATATATAATCACAGTACATAGCAGAGGTATTTTCATATTTCAAATGTGAATGGTAGTTCTACAAGTGCTTTTAGTGTGTCAAGTCAACATGGAAGTTTCCAGCTGTATTTTTGTAAATGTAGGACTCTCTTGGATGAAGCTTCAGGCCATTGTGGTGCCACACGGTCATCTGACTCAAGGGGAATATCTATTTTCAGCCACAGTTTTTTCAGGACACCTCTGTACTATGCTGTTCAGTTGGATATTTTGGAAGGTAGATCGGGCTGGTTTGAAGCCATGGATACCATAAAGGACTTTTCCTGCTGCATCTCATCCAGGGAAGTGTTCTCTTTTCCATCTTCTGTAGTGGGAGCCTACTTTGAAAGGATGATTTCAAAATAATTGGTATTAATCAGATACCAGTGCGTAACAACTTCAACTCTGCAATGTCATTATCAAGATAAATAACAAGAAATTTAGTTTGACATCCCAATTGCTAGGGTAGGAAGAATAGAGATTGATCAGCTATATGCCCATGTTTTTGACTATGCGACAAAGTATGCATATCTGAAGAGAACCCAGATTGGTTATTAAAATTGTTGAAAAATTGGCTTCCTTTCTTAGTTGTCCTCTATGTCCTTTTACCTTTTCTTGTTCTTGCATATTTCTAAACTCTCCTTCCAGCCTAATAAGATGCCATCGTTATTTTGCTTCTGCATAAAACCGACGACAATTCTCTTTCTTTCTCGTTCTACTTGAAGGTGATGAGGAGGAGAGAAATGATGGAAGGGAGTGGGAGGGATGAGGGAGAGCATGAGAAAAGAGATGAAAGCAGTGCCGTTACTGGAGTTGCAGTGGCAGTTTGGCATGGGGAAGATAAAAACAATGTAAGAAAAAAAAATAAAAAAGGAAGAGATAGAAAGAGGAGAATTGTCTTGTCCAAACCAAAAATGGCATTTTCATCCATAAAATGGGTAAGTTATGGATTTTTGAAAAATATAACAGTCATGTGATATCGCATGTGAACGGTTTCTGTATAGARTGTTAATGGTAAGGGAGGTTTTAGGCAATTGTTAGAAATAATATTAAGGATGGTGCAAGACAATAGTTAAACAATAATGATAAAATTAGTCAATTAACTAAATCATAAGGATAGTTTAAGAAATTTGCCTTTTTATAAATTAGGGATTATGTTTGAAAACCGACATGACATGGGCTTTTGGGACTTCTTCCACGTGGTATTTTGGCACATGTGATGTGCCACTAAAAGGACGGGGTGAGGGCAATAGGTCCCCACTTTGCATCATTCTTCACCATTGTGAATCACCTTCAATGTTTATTTCCCTTCACTTCTCTATTTTGTTGAGGTTGCCACTACAAAATTTTTTTCTCCGAATTGTATTGGTCATGGCTCACACAAGAATCTCCCTCAAACTGTCCATCCCTTCGTCACATACGCCCATATGTTGGATACTACACAACTGCTTGCAAAGGTGGAAGAAGCAAAAGATAAAGACAAGGGAAAGGGTTTTTGGCCTCTGGTCTCGGTGGTAATGGGGGACGAGGGAACCTTCGATTTGATTGAGGGGTGAGAGGTGCTTTGCTTTTATGGGCATACAAAGAAGGGCATTACATTTCGATGCCATGAATCAAGAACAAAGGATGATTGGAAAGTACGACTCGGTATGACCCATGCTTTTGGCGAGTTGGGTCTTGTTGGCTTGCAGACCGAGCTGGGTCGTGCTTCCCTTTCCTGGGATATTTTGGGGGGGTTTGCTCGACACGACCCACGGTTTGAGCCCACGTGGGTCTGTGCCGTGTCATGTCGTGGACCTGGTTGGTCCGTAGGCTAAGCCTTGGGCCAAGTTGAGTTGTAGATTGGGCCAAGGCATGATATGTATATTTTTTAAAAATTGAAATAAATAATAAAAATTTAATGTAAATTAACAAAATAGACAAAAATTAAAAAAAGTCTTAAATTTTATTTTATATGAATTTTTCGCATGTTGGGTCACGCTGGCATGCGGGCCACACAACACACACATGGACCTGAAATCTTAGGCCTGGTACGACCCACGTTCTGTCATGTCAGGTCATCTCAAAATCGTGTCAAGCCGCAGGCGACAAGGCCCGATTTATACCTCTATCAACTGTTAGATAGTGTATGCCCTTAGCTCCAATCAGATTGATGTACTGATACATTCATTGTAAATGAATAAAAGTACATTATTGTTTCATGTTTAGAAAATACTTTTAGTTCTAGAATATAAAAAAGGTTAAGACTAGAAGGAAATGTCGAGAGTAATTAGTTCCTGCACAATGTGTATGAAACAACAAGAAAGATATTTGAGCAGACTCATTGGGTCAAACATCTAATTAGTTTGGAGAAGAGTAAGAAAGAAATTTGAGCTTTAAGGTTTATGAAGAATCATGAGAATGTCTTTTTTATACTGATTAAGGGAATATCAATCCCTATACCATATGTGTACCTATTTGATATTACAGTGTTTTGAAGGCATGAAGGTCCAAGTGGCCTTTTAATGTTATTTCTCAAGAGTAATTCATAGAGTCAAACATCTACTTGGTATAAGTTTAGTTGAGGGAATGAAGCATCCTTTGATACTGGTCAAGGGAGAGGGTTAGACCCTTACCATATATATCTACTAGATCCTCTCGGAGTTTAAATACTTAGAATGGACCAAGGTGGCGTTTTGATAGAGTTAGGTACCTACTTAGCCAAGAGATGGACACAAGATAGAAGAGGCAAAAAAAAAAAAATTGCCTTTTGATGCTACTTCTTCGGAGCTGAGCTCATAGAGTCATGCATCTACTTAACCAAGAGATAAACATATGACAGATAATGAAAGGGTCAAAATGGCCTTTTGATGCTACTTCTCAAGAGTTGAGCTCATAAAGTCATGCATCTACTTAGTCAAGAGATAGACATAGGACAGATAATGAAAGGGGTCAAAATGGCCTTTTGATGCTAYCTCTCAAGAACTGAGCTCATAGAGTCATGCATCTACTTAGCCAAGATAGGGGAACAAAAACCTAGAGTCAGAAGATAGTCATTTTAGTTGAGAGTTTCAGATTCTAATAATTGTAGTTTTGATTTTGATCTTAATTCCTATATTTTTTATCCTTAATTTTTTATTATTGTAGTTTGAATCTTAGATGAAACTTGTAGATTTGATTTGATTTGTTTTTTTTTATTTAATTGGTTTTTATTTTTTTATCTTACACTATTATTGTTATTTGACTTTGATTCAAGATTTTGAATCTTACTTGGGATCTAGATTAGACTTGGATAACATTTGGAAATCTGGGCCTAGGTGTTGCCTTCGGTGACCTTAGGGTGTTTTAGTGTATTTTAATGGAATAYCAAATCTTCTTTTTTGTTGTTTGGGTTAAAAGAGTTCAGGCTTCATTTTTTTATCTTACTTCTAAAGATGACAACCACATAGTGTAACACTCATGGTGTGCTAGTCATAATTACACTAAAGTTCATCTATCCTACTTTCATCTAAGGCTTCTATGTATGAGTATTTTAGGTGTGATGCATGGAGTTTTTAGGTGGGTTCAAGAATCAGAAGTTTTAGTCGAGTTGCTAGCCTTCAAACCTTCACCCATGGACAAGTGGACTATTTTGGTTGGTGGCTAGTTTGAATATTTTGGTAGAGCCTTTGAGAACCAAAGTCCAGAGGCAGACACTTACTATCATTCCCCTAATAGGTAAAATGAGACTAATTCTATTTACATGAGATTGTGTATGAATTGTGAGTGTTCAAACATGCAAGAAAAATGAATAGGAAAGCAACAAAGAACAAGGGGAGAATGCAACTACATGTTCAATTTTACAAGAAATCCTACAAGTCTCCAGGTGGTCACACTTGGGGATCTAATAGAAGCTAAGTTCTCTTAATGTGTGTGTGTGTTTTTTTTTTCAACTAAAACAAAGGAGAGGAAAGAGCAGAACGAGAAACAAATACAATTTACTCCTACCCAAAACAAGGCTAATCATATTCAATTATAAAGAAATCAAAAACTACAAATTTTGAGAGATTACCAAAGGAAAAGGGGGGGGGGGGAGAAAAAAAACAAAAAAGGGAAAGAATACACCCAATGTGTTGTGGTGGAGTATATGGTGCGATAACAGGGTGTGAGAAAGATAGACAGGGCGATTTCAGGTGTGATGTAGGCATTGTTAGGTGAGCTGTTGACGTTCTGGTGTGCGATGAGCAAGATTTCAGGTGTGATGAACATGTTCTGGTGTTATGAGCAAGTTTTCAAGTGTGATGAGCAAGTTTTCGGGTGTGATAAACATGTTTTGAGGTGCAATTAGCAAGTTTTCAGGTGCGATGAACAAGTTCTGAGGTGCGATCAACAAGTTTTCAGGTGTAATGAACAAGTTCTAAGGTGCGATGAACAAGTTTTCAAGTGTGATGAACAATTTTTCAGGTGCGACGAACATGTTTTGAGGTGTGATGAACATGTTCTGAGGTTCGATGAACAGGATTTTGGGTGCGATGTACATGTTTTGAGGTGCGATGAGTTAAACGTGAGCRTGATAAGAAGGTTCTGAGGTGCGATGGAGAGGTTCTAAGTTGCGATGAGAGTGTTTTGAGCTGCGATGGGAGGGTTTTGAGCTGCTATGGGAGGATGATGAAGCTTTGAAAGAGGTGATTTTGATGCTCTGGGCTGTAATAAAACTAAACTCAAGT